GGAAAGAGGGAAGAAAAAGGACAGAAAGGCACAACTGATTTCAGCTGAAAAGGGGGAAAGGAAAATAATTATCTTTTTATTTTTTTTTATGATTTTAATGTGCTAATATTGAAAATTAAAAATAAATTAAAAAATATTATATTAATATATTTTCAAATAAATAATATTTGAAAAATAATTAAACTACTATACATTACCGAGCTCACTTAAAAAGTATGATCCATGAGTGCAAAGTCGTTAGTGCCCCATTGCTTTGCGTTATTATTTCTCTGCCAATAAACAACAATTTAGTTTGCGCAATTTGAAGTCAATTTGATAGGAACCTTGCATATTTTCCAGGTTTTTATTCTTATTTTATTTTTTTAATTATTAAATCTTAAAAAAATATTTTTCATTTAAAAATATATTAAAATAACATATTTTCAAATAAAAATTAATATTAACATATTAATTTGATGCTCGTATAATTACTGCTAGATGAGTTAAAAAGAAAGTTCTAATTAGTATTATAAGCTTATATGGAGCTACAAGGTTTTATTTGTTTATTTTTATGAATTTTAATATAAAAAGTTATGATATTATGTAAATGATATTTTATTTCTAGATATATAAAATTCTTCCTAAATATTTTACACAATTTCATGTTTGATAATTTAGATTTGAAATATCAACTTTTTAATGCGAACATCCAAATCATTGATAAATTTCAAATGCTTTTCATAATTGGGATTAATTAATTAGTTTCAAGTAACATTTTTCTATATCCCTAGTAGTATAAATTTTTTTTAAGAATTTATTATATTTCTATAATAATTAATATTTTGTAATAGATATTTATTTTTTATTAATATTATGCAAGAGTTATTTGTTTCTCATTTACTATTGTATAGGAAATATCAATCATTTATTATTTATTTATATAATTCCATTCTAGTAAAATAACAAGGTTCAATAGCTATAAATACTCCTTGAATTATTTAGGTAAAAAATTTATAATTTTTATTTTTTATTGTATAAATATTTTTTAATTATTTACTTACATAATTGCATAGTTTAAATTATTTTTTATTTAGAATAGAAAAAGGAAAAATCAATTCAAGGAATGAAAAGACTTTTGGATCATGAGAAATGTTGTATATATTAGTGCGAAGTCATTGGTGCCAAGAAACAACAATTCAGTTTGCACAATTTGAAGTCAACAGGGAATCAAGTTGATAGGAACCTTACATATTTCCATCGGTTTTTATTCTTTCTTTATTTTCTTAATTATTAAATCCTGAGAAAGGTATTTTAATACTAACAATTAATATGTGCTCATGAACAAATAAGTCTTTCTTTGCTCCGATTCTCTTTCAGCTTAGGAAACTTGTTTAATGCTTCAACCAGTCTATAAATACTGCTAATAATTAATGCCTTTCTTCACTTCTCATCTTAAATTCCCAGTTAATTATACTTTGAATCCTGTAAGCCCAGCCACCATGGGGTTTTCACCACCGTGCCTCTCTCAATCTCTCTCTTTCATTCTGTTTCTCTTCCATTTCCACTCAACAATTTCATCTCCACTCTCCTCAAATTACTCTTCTTCTTCTTCTTCTCATTTGTGTGCTCATCGCCAATCTCTTTCTCTCCTTCAATTCAAACAATCCTTCTCCATTCAGAGTTCTCCTTTTTGGTTTGCTAGAAACTATCAATATGATCAATATCCCAAGACAGAGTCATGGAAAGAGGGTACAGACTGCTGCTTGTGGGATGGGGTCTCTTGTGACCTGAAAACCGGCCATGTCACTGCACTGGACCTCTCTTGCAGCATGCTTTACGGCACCCTCCTTCCCAATAATTCTCTCTTCTCTCTCCATCATCTTCAAAAGCTCGACCTCTCTTTCAATGATTTCAACTCCTCCCATATTTCTTCTCGATTTGGCCAGTTCTCCAATCTAACACATCTTAACCTAAGTGGTTCAGATCTTGCAGGCCAAGTTCCGTCGGAAATCTCTCACCTCTCCAAAATGGTTTCTCTTGATCTCTCTTGGAACGACTATGTGAGTCTAGATCCAATTTCTTTTGACAAGCTTGTTCGAAACCTAACCAAGCTTAGAGAACTCGATTTGAGTTTGGTAAACATGTCACTAGTTGTTCCCGATTCCTTGATGAATCTGTCTTCTTCTCTGTCATCGCTCAAACTCTATTACTGTAGATTGAAAGGAAAACTCCCATCCTCAATGGGGAAATTTAAGCACCTGCAGTACTTGGATCTTGGAGGGAACGATCTTACTGGTTCAATTCCATATGATTTTGATCAACTCACCGAGTTGGTTTCCCTTGGTCTCTCTTTCAACAACTATCTGAGTCTAGAACCAATTTCTTTCCGCAAGATTGTTCGAAACCTAACCAAGCTAAGAGAACTGGGTTTGGGCTATGTAAATATGTCTTTTGTTGCACCTAATTCCTTGATGAATCTGTCCTCTTCCTTTTCATCTCTTTTCCTTTGGGGTTGTGGATTGCAGGGGAAATTCCCGGGTAACATCTTTCTCCTCCCAAACCTTAAATCATTAGATTTGTCATACAACGAAGGCCTCACTGGCTCTTTTCCTTCGTTCAATTTGAGTAATGTCCTCTCTCAATTAGATCTTTCTGATACAAGAATTTCAGTTTATTTAGAAAACGACTTAATCAGTAATCTAAAGTCATTAGAATATATGTCTCTTCGTAATTGTAACATTATAAGATCAGATCTAGCACTACTTGGTAATTTCACACAGCTCTTGTTTTTAGACCTCTCAAATAACAATTTTAACGGTCAGATCCCATCATCATTTGGTAATCTTACACAGCTTGTTTATTTACAGCTCTCAAGTAACAATTTTAGCGGTCAGATCTCATCATCACTTAATAATCTCACACAGCTCGTTTATTTAGACCTCTCAAATAACAATTTTAGGAGTGAGATCCCGTCATTACTTGGAAACCTTGTACATCTCCGTTACTTACATCTCTCTTCCAATAAATTTATAGTTCAAGTTCCAAATTTTCTAGGTAGTCTAGTCAATCTTTCATATTTAAGTTTATCAAATAATCAACTAGTAGGCCCTATCCATTCTCAATTAAATACCCTTTCAAATCTAGAGAGTCTAAGTTTATCGGATAACTTGTTCAATGGAACAATACCATCCTTTTTGTTTGCTCTTCCTTCTTTACAATCTCTTGAACTTCATGACAATAATTTCATAGGTAATATAAGTGAACTCCAACACGATTCTTTGAGATTCCTTGATTTGAGCAATAACCACTTGAATGGTACTATCCCAAGTTCGGTTTTCAAACAAGAGAACTTGACAGTCCTTATTCTTGCGTCCAATAGTGAATTGACAGGTGAGATCTCTTCTTCTATTTGCAAGCTGAGATTCCTTCGCGTCCTGGACTTGTCCAACAACAGCTTGAGCGGTTCCACACCACTATGTTTGGGGAACTTCAGCAGCCAGCTCTCAGTATTGCATCTAGGCATGAACAATCTTCAAGGCACCATCCCTTCCACTTTTTCAAAGGATAATAGCTTGGAATATCTCAACCTCAATGGAAATGAATTAGAAGGGAAAATACCACCGTCTATCATCAGTTGCACAATGTTGGAAGTTCTTGATCTTGGCAACAACAAGATTGAGGATGCATTTCCGTACTTTCTAGAAACGCTTCCAAAGCTGCAAATTCTTGTCCTAAAATCGAATAAACTCCAAGGTTTTGGGAAGGATCCGGCTGCACATAATTCCTTCTCTAAATTACGGATTCTTGACATCTCTGACAACGATTTTAGTGGGCCATTGCCAACAGGGTATTTCAATAGTCTTGAAGCAATGATGGCCTCCGATCAAAACATGGTTTACATGAATGCAACAAATTACTCTAGCTATGTCTATTCCATAGAAATGACATGGAAAGGTGTAGAAATTGAGTTTACGAAGATACAAAGTACCATCAGAGTACTCGATTTGTCAAAAAACAATTTCACCGGAGAGATTCCAAAGTTGATCGGAAAGCTTAAAGCACTCCAACAGCTCAACCTCTCTCATAATTCCCTTACAGGTCAAATCCAATCATCATTAGGAAATTTGACCAATCTGGAATCATTAGATCTATCTTCAAATTTGCTTACCGGAAGGATTCCAACGCAGCTGGGGGGTCTAACATTTCTTGCAATCCTAAACCTTTCACATAACCAGCTCGAGGGCCGTATACCAAGTGGAGAGCAGTTCAACACCTTTACTGCAACCTCATTTGAAGGAAACTTGGGTTTATGTGGATTTCAAATACTAAAACAATGTTACGGTGATGAGGCACCATCATTACCGCCATCAAGCTTTGATGAAGGAGATGATTCAACATTGTTTAGAGATGGATTTGGATGGAAAGCTGTGACAATAGGGTATGGATGTGGGTTTGTGTTTGGAGTTACAATAGGATACGTTGTGTTTAGAACAAAAAAACCTGCATGGTTTCTTAGGATGGTTGAAGATAAATGGAATCTCAACGACAAAAAAACAAAGAAGAATGCTGGCAGATACGGTGCTAGAAGAAACTAAATAATGCAATTGATATTTTCAAGTAAGTTTTGCAAGCATTTGAGTTTTCAGGTTTAGATTAATCAGGTTAATGAATTAACTTGCAGATTTTTTTTCATCTTAAATATTATTTGGCTTTTAAATTAACTCGTCAAACTAGTTGGAGTTTTACATGTTTTGGTTTTATACTCTTCAAAATTATTAAAAAAATTATTCAGGTTAGGTAATACCAGTATTTTAATTAACGAGAACCATTCTTTTATGTAAAAGAGGCACAACTTTCATTCTACATGACAATTATTTGCAAAAACTATACCGTGTAAGTACTTGTAATAATAAAAAAACATGTTAATAGATTCACAAAGACAAACGAAACCTTATACAATTATTGATGTCTGAACTGAAAAATCTTTTAAAAAAAGTTGGAAAATTTTCCAATAATTTAATAATCAAATCCATTTATATTCTTAACAAAGTGTTAATCCTCGCATTGTTGTCAAGGTGCCATAGCGAGGAAAGTAAATCTTCTAATATATCTCAACTCTCAGGATCACTACGAATTGATTTTTCCTATCTAGGATTTCATTTTCCTAGTTTCTCTCTTCCCCATCCTTCATTCCAGTGAGCTTGGACCCCAAGAAATTTGTGCAGTGTGTGAAAGCTTGGAAATCATTGAATTTAGTGTCTGTTTGAGGCTACGATTTAATATTTTTTTAATGAAAAAACCTTTATTAAATAATAATAAAAAAAGAACCGAGGGAACATACGAGAATCTTGATAATATAATACAAACTTTATAGTGAGATATTGTAGGTGATTGAAAAGAGACTAGGATGCTTTAGAAAAAGACACAGCATTTGGGATGGATAGGTACTCTTGCCGGGACCTCTCTAGCCCACAACTGCTTTTACTTTATGAAATCTAAAAGCCTCAAATCAAAGTAAAACGAATCCATCACTCCAAACATCGTTGAAGATACAAATGCCAAGTCTCTCAACATTTCACGCCTATTCTCTTTGTTGCAAATTGTATGTACGTGTGTGTATTGGCACTCAATTTGTTGCTATGCTTGCTGGAATATTATATAATACGATGCTTTTATTTATTTATTTTTCTCGTATTTGAAAGCGATGGTCTCTTGGATTAGGGCTTTGCACATCCTTGATTATTCCTTTATAAAAAGGTTGTTGAGGTAGTGGAGTTCTGAAAGAATACCTTTCCCTGTTCTCTTTTTAACCTTTGCATGCACGCCCCAACATGGATATACCTTTTTATTTTTCATAATTAAAACAGAAGAAGAAGGAGAAGAGGAGGAGGAGGAAAAAGAAAGACATGACCCGCTTGGAACCCTAAAGTAATAATTTTGTTAACCACGACGACTTAATTTTTGGTGCTGGAAATTGTGCCAAAAGTTGAGGATAGTTTTATACTTCTCATCCTCCCTTAATCAGAGGCAGGAGCGATGCTTGGATAATTCTGGGGTTACTCCTTTTTAGTTTTTCAGTTTTTTTTTACAAGTCCCTCCTGCATTATGTCATTCAAGTCTGAAATCTCTACATCTTATCCTCTCTTTTTTGTACGGAACTTCAAAAGGCAATTAAATTATGTGATTCACGAAGCGGCCACAAGAGTCAAAAAGTTCGATCCTAGCTTTATAGAAAATAGTAATCAATTTCGTAGTCTCAATCCTCTTTGGAAAAAAATGTTAGGTTGTGAGGCTCTATAATCATGTTGGCCATGTGTGGCAGACGGGTTCTATTTTTGAAACCTTGTGATTCCTCCAAAATTCACTTTTGTTGGTTTTTTTTTAAAAAAAATTAAAATTAAAAAAATATATATGTAAATTATATTTTAGGGTTAAAACTTTTTTTTAAAAAATGCCTATATTCTCTACAGTTTTGTGGCTAGAAAAAAATTGAAAAATATGAGTTTTGGGTATTTTAAAATCTATGATGAAATAATAATTTTCTATGGCACTTTGTAGTTTCTCATTTTCTCTAGTTTCTTTAATCATCTCACATGTGGAGTGAGCCTAAATTTTCAACTATGCAAATTTCTTGTGCACTATTATTCTTATTATCTTATATATATATATATATACACACACACACACATATATATATATATATATATATATCTTTACATACCAATTGGTTTTAAGATTTAATAGTTGTTTTTACAATTTATAATTGTATCATAGCTTATTTGGATATTGATTGATTTTTATAATGGCAACAAAAGTATGACAATTATAAAGTTTAATGTAAAAATTTTTAATTAAGAAAGATTTTAATTTATGGAGTATTAAAATATTTTTTTGTTAATTTAACAAGGTTTATTTAAAGTATTGCATGGACAATTTGATTAAGGGAATGAATGATGAAGAGAGATTTTATAAAATGAGTATATAGTGCTATTCAATTTTATTTGTCTAATAAGATTTCGAGAGATATTATCTATGAAACTATAGTTATTGAAATAGGAATAAGATTGAAAATTTTTTACATGATCAAATCACCAACAAATCAATTATGTTTAAAGCATGAATTATATATTCTCCGGATAAAATAAGATATACCTATTAAATTGAAAACTTGCTAACATATTGACAACTTATCTTGAATCAATTTCAAATATTGTCTAATTTGATTGGTTTGATGGAGATGATTAAATAGAAGTTCAAGTTTTGTATGTTAGCTCAATTTAAATTACAGGCTTAACAAAAATATTCATATATTTAATGTATATATAAAAGCTTAAAATTATTATATTTTAGAGTTAAAATTTATTTGTAAGTGTCTATATTCTCTATACTTAAGCAACTAAAAAGTAGTGAGAAAATTTGAATTCTAGATTGAGTTGAGATTTTGGGTAAAAAAATAATTTTGTATAATATTTTATAATTTTATATTTTCTCATAATAAATTTCTCTTCTCATCGTCTCGTGGAATATATCTAAGTAACTAAAACATATAATTTTTTTTGTGTGCTCTTGTGTGGTTAATATGTTTATTACTTTATATCTGATCTCCACTTGCCAATTAATTTAAGATTTTAGGGTTATTTTTACAATAATTTAATCCTGTTTTTAGATCTGGTAATGGATTTTGCTGATTAATTTGAATTATTTTGTTAACTAAGACAATATCATTTTACTTTTTTTTTAAAGAAATATTAAAATAGATTTTAATCTGACGAGTAAAGTCAATCCACCCAAGCTAGAAACTTTTTCCCTCCATGCCGGCTTTAATAAATGAAGCTAAGGTATGTGTAACTGGTTTGTTTGGGAAGATCAAGAGTGACAACCCATCGTGTAACACAGTAAAGGGTCAAGTGCGATTGTCCCATCTGTGCCATACGTGGCCACATATACTAGTGGGTTCCATTGTTGCGTGGAGGCAAGTATGGTCCATGGGGGTGCAGTCGCGACGGACACAGCTATACTTTTTTTTTTCTTTAGATTAACGTAGGTGTCCAGGCCAGCTTGCGCGCATCACGACTAATCCTACGGGCCCTGAAATTAACGACCATGTAAACCTCCAGTGGCCATCATATGAGCAACCAAGGACTCGAACCTGAGACCACAGAGGGAGCAAACCCCTTGATCCCAAGTCCTTGCCACTTAGGCACCACCTAGATGGTTACAGCTATACTTGACATGCCATTCATTAGCGTGACATCCCAAGCTTTTTCTATAGCTCCATTGAATCTCTCTGGATAATCTAGAGATACTCCTCTTCTAAATAACAGATCGACAAGATCAGGGAATCTAGTGTTTCTTGTACTGATCGCTCTCTCAACCTTAAAAACCAGCAGATGATCAGAGTTCCAACGTTCGACTCTCTGCCATGAGGACAAGTCAAACCTAGCCCATGAACCCAAATTGAGGCTTCACGTACAAAAAAATGTTTGAAGGCAACTTTTTTTCAACCATAGTTGCCTGAGAGATGCCTTATAAAGGAAACAGATAAAAATGTGGATTGGATTCTGAGGTTTTCTTCTCTACAATTTGATTAATTACAACCACTACTTGTATTTATAACAACATATTACAGAGTCAGGGCAAAACTCTCTTATAAGAAGATTCTTTTATGCCTACATCCTAAAAATGGCCAAAATGCTTGAAGCAATCTGCTGTTGCCCTCACCAAAAGCTACAAAAGGTGATGCATGCCTACTTCTATCCACGAGAGTAAATTTCTACCGCTGCTCTCTTTCGTTTATTCTCTTCTTCTTCACCTTGTTCCTATTTCATTGTCAAGGAGCAAACAGACGAAGCAGAACCTGGAATCCACCAAGGAGACTGGCACAGCTAGTCCAGTCCATCGGTGCCCAACAGGAGTCCTTGAATATTCAAAAGCAAGTCCATTGGAGAGTTTGCTGCAACAAGTCACCCTCTCAACTTTGACATTCTAAAGGCTACCCTATTACATTTGGAGAAAAAAACTGAAAGAGAATTCAAAGCCTCTCACTTGATAATTCGTGTGCCTGTTTTAGCAACCCTCTCGTGACAACCTGTTTGCGGCCCCTCATGCTGTGCTCGTTCATTCTGTTCTAAGTCTTGTGCCTAGTTTGCTTTCAAGGACTTTCATGATATAGTTTGCTTTCAAGGACTTTCATGATATCAATCGTGAGCATGGCATTCTTATTGGTGAGAACACCACCGTTAGTCGGGCATGATCTGAAAGAGAGTAGTTCTTAGGCCACATTCCTTTCTCTACTTCAGGAGGGAAGAGAACAGCATTCTCCACACTGAAACCAATTGTTTGCTCTTCTCTACCCTTAAGATTATCGTCTTGGATTTCATCATCTTTCTGCTTTGACCATATAGGATTCCAAATTCGCTGCTGTAGTTCCAAAATCCCACAATGCGAACATCGTAGTTTAGAACACTGTTTTACAGGTATTAACATATGTCGAATTGCTTTCTTTTCTGAAAACAATATGATAAAACAGATATGATGTAGCACATATACACATTTTGACGTAAAGATCAGCAAAAACATGGAAGCCATTCATCAGGTTAAAAACATAAACAAATGTTGGCAAAAGTACAACTAATTTGTGGATTGCAGAAAGTATTTTAATTTGAGATCAAGCAACCTGGATTGCCAATCCTGGTGCTACCACAGCTTGCTAAAAAGGCGGTTGCATTGTGAAGAATTGGTGTGGAAATCAGAGTATCCTGATGCTTTCGTAAATTATAGCTAGTGCGACATTCACTTTTTAGTTGGTTACCTGAAATTCTTTATAATCAAGAACACCATTCCCATCAATGTCTGCCTGCGCCCACAAATCCTTTGTTTCTTCGTTGCTGAGTCCATAACAATGGCCGGTTAAGTTAAGCTGAATATTTAGAACATTGTTATGTATGAGTTGTCAAGCAAATGAATACAAACATCTTACTAAGCAACCGCATTGATAGGAGATAATACAGGTTCCACTTATCATACCTGCTGAAGAGCTTCACAGAAGCCTGAGTAGGTAATGCAGTCACTATCACTATCAGCCTTCAGAAAGGCAAAGGCATCTTCTTCTGTCAGGGAAGCTCTCCGTAGCAGATACTGAAATGTAAAATTCTATTTCAGAGATAGAAACTCAAGAATTGTTCTCCCAAGGCTGATAAAATTCTATTTTTAAATTCCATGTCCCTGACATTACAAAACCAACGCAAAACACAAAAAATATACGGGTTCATTCCAAAACAACCAGCTTAGCAACAGTTTCTATGGGACATTAAGAAGTAACTCGAGGTTGCAAAAGAGATGAGAGATTACAAATGCCTTAGTTGACCGAAAGTTGGCGTCCTTCTTGCTTGTGAAGTTGCACAGATTCTAGGTCATTTGGGGATGTCTCTTCAAAGAAGAAACATTAACTAGATGACACTCACAATATAAGCTGGCTTGCTAATTTTTTATTTACACTGTCCAGCCTTACGCTGATATTATTAAGTGACCATCAATTGAGTTAAGAGGAGGTGTAGATACCAAAGAAATGTACAAATGAAGCCCAACAATAAACAGAGTGAGATCGTTGAAGTGTTAAGATCATGAAAACAGAGAATTCCAGGTTAATGTTAAAGAATAAAAATCTGACCTTGAACATGCCAAATACTGCTTCACTCCAACTTGTTTTTAGTAGCTTGCGGTATCTATTGGGATTAAGAAGCCATATAAAATCCACGCCACAAATATTTCCACGATGATTAAGGTGGCTAACCCACTGAGCACAACACATGAAAGGAATGAGAAATGTATGCATCGGATGTAACCAACAAAGTGATTTCTACCGAAGAAAATAAATTATTACTAGTTTGAACATGAAAATAAGGACCTTGTGAGCATCTGCATCAGTGTACTGATGAGCAGTATCATACGAGGATACAAAGCCTTGTGACCTGAGGAACTTGTAAACATGCCCCCGTTTGCTCCCATTCCAGTCACTGCAGAAAGTACACAGTAAAGGTTAAGGAATACAATGAGTGTGATTGTGTGAAGGGCATAGAATCTACCAAGCTGGAGTGGTTTCTTTATGACATTTAGCATATGATCATGTAATTACCCGCAAAGCATAATAGGCGTTGGGCTAAGCTTGTTTTCTTTCTGATAAGATTCCACATACTGCAGGATTTTGTAGACCTGTTATTGCAATCATAGAACACAGGCCAAAACCAAGGATAGTAAGAAGTTACTTGCGAAGAAGATAGAAAAGAGAAAAACAAAGGGTGGAAAAATGTACTTACCTGATTCAATCTTACAAGAGACAAACTTGAATCATGAGGAAATAACAAGTGGGTATTGACAATGAGAATTTCTTGGCGAGTGTCATTGTTCCGGCATGGTGAACAAGGGGCAGCTAATTCAACATGTAACAACTGAGCAACTCGATCCCCGCAATCATTGAACAACAATTCCCTATGGTTAATAACTCTGAAATAGTCCTTGCGCACAGCGATCAGTAGGCCTGGGATATCATACAATGACACAGTATGTTCAAAAGGATTCAACAAAAGAAAATTCTGCTCATTGTTTCTTCTGCTATTCATTTGAATCTAAGACCATTTTATTTCCTCAACAAAAATCCCCAACCTCCAACAAAACTTAAAACTCTTTATTCTTATTTCTGAATACATGGAAGAATTCTCCTGAAGATAGTGAAAGAGAACAGGAAGCAGAGGAATTGGTCAAATTTGGAAGATATCTTCCCTATTTTGTCCAAATTCGAGACATTAAACCACTAGGAAATAGTGATGGAACAATTGATGAAACAAGAAACATCAAATGCAGATCAAATTAGCAAACTCCTGGAACATGGCCTATAATGTCTGATTACAGGAAGTCCAACATGATCCAAAAATTGTATAAAAGTTTCGATCTTTGCACAAAATGGTAAACTATGAAATAACAGAATTCATAAAAAAAAAACCAAAATTTTAATGTATAAACAAAAGGGATTCCAGAGAAAATTCCAAGATGAGAAATGAATAAGAAAGGTAGGTACCAACCATCACCACGGTTGTTGGTTCGTGCAAGCTTGAAATTGAGATAGCCTGCATCACCTAATCTCTTCTCATACATGTTGACCAACTCTTCATTTCCCAACCAAAATTCCTACAAGAATTTGAAACAATCAACAAATCAATCAAAACAATCATAAAAAACATAGAGAGACAGAGACAGAGACAAGCACAGAGGCAGAGAGAGAGAGAGAGAAGAACCTGAAGACAAATTATGGAAGATCTTTCACGCAACAAGGAAACCAAAATCCTCTGGTTTCTGACAAGCCAATAGGCCCTGTAATCACTTTCACGTGAATTCTGATCCTGATCATTGTTAATGTTAAGACGTTTATAGATAGGTGCTAGAATGTTAAACGTTGTACAAGTTATACAAGGTTGTTGCCGATGATCTCTCATTGACATTGATGATGATATTGCATAGCTCCCTATTCTTGATATCCTTCTTGATCTCCTTTCCTTTCTCATTTTTTCTCTTTCTCTCTAACCTTTCTTGTATTCAAATTTCAAACCAAATGATCAAATTCTGAGGCAACGCAACAGAAAGAAATAAAAAGAGATGACAAGTGGGGTGGTGGCAGGGGAGGAGGGGAGGCTAGTTTTGACGGAAAAGGTTGTGGTGGCGGTAATGGAGGCCGTTTTGAAGCAGCCAATCAAAGGAGGAAAAGGCAGCAGCAAAACCACCACCACCACCAAGAAGAAGAAGAAGAAGAAGAAGAAGAAGAAGAATATTGTGAAAATGGGGGTGCGTTGCGACTAAAGAAAGGCAACCTCATTCCCTTGAGTCTTCATTCTCGTGCAAGGTCTACGCTTTATATAGTCTATGCAGTGCTATATGGTTATGACTTAATTTAATTAACCGTTGCCTAAAAAAAAAGTTTATTGCAATCAATATGCCTATTATAGCTTAGTTTTGCTTTATAGTCTATTTGAGAGTTTATTTTTTTGAAAATATATTAAAATAATATATATATTTTTTAATTTTAATATTATTATATTAAAATGATAAAAAAATATCAATATAAAGTTCTTTAAAAATTAAAAATCTTAAAAAGCATGATAAGACCATAATATCAAACAGTGCATAATGGTATATAATTTTATTTTTAATTTTTTAAAATATGTATTCAAATGATTTTAATTGTGCATTCTTCTTTCAAATCTGGCGTATATATTAATAAATTTACTTGTGCAATATTCTTAAAATTTGAATCTAAAAAGTTAAAAAGTGAACATATTTCCTTAATCACTAGAAGAACCTCTTAGGTTTATTATTATAGTTATTATGATAATTAGGAAGTTGGGTTCATAACTTTACTCTCAAGTGCAAGTCAGTCGAGTATCAAACAAGTGCATAATCAAGTCGATGTATATGTTGGTTGAAATGAAATCTATGAATTTGATCGGCAGCGCATAACGATGGAAGCAGAGAGATTCTTATGTTTATGGGAGGCAAAACTTAGACCATAATTTTATTAAGGCATTCTAATTTAATTAATGAACTATTCGTGTAAGTTGTAACCTGACTTGAAAATAAGGTCATTTTATAATTAAAAAATTACTTACAAACACATCATCATGTAAGAATATTGAATAAGAAGGTATGATTACATAGGAATCGAGGGTATTTTGTCCTGGAGTGAAAAGACTGGCTTGAGAAATTCCTATTGACTCTCATCTTACCAATTCGCAAGTTCTTTAAGTATTATACGAGCTCCATATATATAGATTGATTGATGTATTAATTACACAAAGATGCCATCATGATCTCGATCAATAAAAAAGTGATGCTATAATGTTTGCATGTTTTTTCTTATTTTTGTTCCATTTAGCTTTTAATTTTATTAATATTTATTCATGCTATTGTGTCATAACATGAATTAATTATGTCGTTCCTTCTCTTTGGTACACATAAAACACCATAGAAATGTGCCAAAAACGTTTTTGAGGTGAGCAAAGCAAGGTGTGGACTGAATTTAAGACGGGCCACTGTATTTGTAAGGGATATGTGGGTATAATTATGAAGAAATAACAAGCATATGCATCAATTTGAATGGACCCCCACATAATTTTTAGCTTTCCTGCTG